ACATTCGTCCCTGAACATATTCTAGGGCCCGGGTCTGGCCTGGGCCTTAGTTATGTTGATCCGGTGCCGAACGAGTTGATGAAGGTGTTCGGTGACACGTGGACGGACCAGATTGATGGGCAGCAGCTAAGTGGAGAGAGTCAGCTAGTGTGTGACATGGAGGAGGATGTTGGAATAAGGTTAGTCCATGCTTTGCTTACTTGTGCTGATGCATTACAACGTGGCGAGTTCCAATTGGCGAATTCGCTTATTGGTGAGATGAGCAATGGGATGATGACACGTGTCAATACAACTTGTGGGATTGGCAAGGTAGCCGGCTACTTCATTGATGCTTTGAGCCGGCGCCTATGCCAGCCGAGCCTAGGCGTGAGCGTAGCCGGGCCGGGCTCGGTGTCTAATGAGGTACTCTATCATCACTTCTATGAGGCTTGTCCTTACCTTAAATTTGCTCACTTTACGGCTAACCAAGCCATATTAGAGGCATTTGAAGGCCAAGCTCATGTACACATCATCGACTTCAACTTGATGCACGGCTTGCAATGGCCGGCTCTAATCCAAGCCTTGGCTCTAAGGCCCGGCGGTCCACCATCTTTAAGGCTAACCGCGATTAGCCCATCTACATCAAATGTTCATGATTTCTTCCACGAAACCAGGATGAGGCTAGCCCAACTAGCTCGATCAATTAACGTAAGGTTCTCATTTCGTGTTGTTACAACATTGCGGCTTGAGGACATCAAGCCGTGGATGTTCCAAACAAGTCCCGAAGAAGTTATAGCCGTTAATTCCATCTTACAATTCCATCGACTACTTAACACAAACATAAACCAAGTTCTCGAGTCAATTAAAAGTCTAAACCCGAAAATTGTTACCGTGGTAGAACAAGATGCAAACCATAACGTACCCGAGTTCCTAGTACGTTTCACAGAAGCGTTACATTATTATTCCGCAATGTTTGACTCACTAGAGGCTTGTCAACTCGAAGCCGCTAAGCCATTAGCCGAGACGTTCATGCAAAGGGAAATATGTAACATAATATGTTGTGAAGGGTCGGCTAGGATCGAAAGACACGAGCCACTAACCAAGTGGCAAGCTCGATTGATACAAGCCGGTTTCAAGGCGTTACATATGGGACGTAACGCCTTTAAACAAGCAAACATGTTACTAAGTTTGTGCTCGGGCGAAGGATTTAGTGTACAAGAGTGTGACGGGTGCTTGACTCTAGGGTGGCATAATCGCCCGTTAATTGCGGCTTCTGCTTGGCAAGTGAGGACTGATAAGGATGGCATTAGTTTGACTAATGATGGATCAACGTCTTCATCCTCGTCATCATAGTATGAGTTTATATTAATTATTGTAACATCATTATGCTTGTAATTGTTTGGTGCATTTTCGGTTTTTTTTTTTTTTTTTTTAATCAAAGAAAATAATACTAATTTCTAGATTTATTCCTTTTTGTTTTTCATTAGTGTATGGAAAATCGTTTAATTTAAAAATATTTTATTGATGTATGAATAAATAAATAGCCACTCATAATCTACGACTTTTGCTAGATATATACAAAGTAATACTTCCTCTGTTCCACAAATATTGCAACAACAATGAAATTACGCATCCCAAAGCACATTTTATATGCTAAATATTTATAATTATATAAGAATAAAAATTATAAAAGGTTGATATTATGAAAGTATTTTACAAGACGAATCTAACAAGACCCCACATGACTCTATTTTACTTTACATATAAATCATAATTTGTGGTCAAACAAATTTGATGAATAGTAAAAGTCCAGTTATTGCTATATTACTAGAATGGAGGAAGTATATGTTTTTTTTAAAAGAAATTATATGCATTCAACAATTATGTAAACTTTATTACACAATACAAAACGTGATTATGATTTATTTAACGTTAAAAGTTGTCAATGAATTGTTTCAGCTAAAACAATTGTATACATAGATTATGACAGCTCCTAACTCAACTTCGTCTGCAAAGAGATACGGACTTACGGAGTGATCAAGTGTTATATGTATAGATTGTACATTTGGATAATCGTTCGGGCCAATTATATGCACTTCACAAGCTCTATTTAGACAATTACATATACATACAGAGTACATATGTTATGTAACGGATGATATATAGAACTATTAGGTGATTAAAACATTTTGGAAAAGCATTTGATTAAATTCTGACTACACTACTTTATATTATGGCTTATCAAGTTACCTATTATATATATCTATAAACACAAATTAATAGCTTAGACAATCCTATTTTGTCAAAACTCTTATAAAAGTGAGTTAAGGTAATTATTCCAAATTTGAAAAGCCCATTACAAATTTTTGAGGTCCCTATTCATCCTCATACGCTACTCATCCTCCCCCAACCCCCAACCCCCAACCCCCAACCAACAAAAGGATTTTTTATGTTCAAGATTTGCAAACCATTACGAGTGCCAGCTTGCAATGCCAGGCATATGCAAAGTTGCCAATTTTTTCCACTAAATACCAAAATTATGGAGATTATGTTTTTATTTCGTGAACGTCTCTAGCATTGGATATAAACAAGGTGTTATACGGGGTTTTAAAGAATCAAGTAAAATGCTACGTGATGAGATATGAAAGAGAGTATGAAAAATATACGATTTATAACAAAGATCGTAGTTTTGTTAAAAGGATATTTTATATAATTTTCAATTGTCATGTACTTTGTATTTACTAGACATAAATCTCTGTGTAGATGTTGATAACTTTTTTTTTTTTTTTTTGAAATAAGATTTTGATAACTTTTATTTATAAATCCATCTTCATTAAAAAAAAAAAAAAAAAATGGGACTATCTTGACAACAATGGGATTAATCAATATAATATGTTAAAACATATATCAGGAATGACACATATCACTTCTGGATGCTATATTATTTCTCCAAAACTCCCCCTTCTCCCTTTTTTTCTATATTTTTTTTAAAATTTTTTTTGTCAATGCCATCAACTACCTATTATAAATTATACAAAATACTCACCAAATCATATAACTATAATATTTTTCATTTACATATTTTCCAAATCTATATTAAAATATTTTCCATATCAATTAATTCGTAACTATAAATATTACTCCATATATCATATACAATACATCATGTACAATACTGGTGGGTCAGATATAAGGTTATTATTGTGTATATAAATTTGGTGAATGCGACAGGTAAAACATGTGTTATATTGTACTTGTAGTTACTAAAGCGAATGATGTGACAAGAAAATTTTAGTTTTTTCCCTACAAAGATTGAAAATGAAACAGTCTATTTCTCTTATATAGTTATGGGGAGCATTATTCATTTATTTTTCAATTAATAAAATAACATTATAAAAATTAAAAGAAATGCAAATAACATAAAATACTATTTAAATTACATTTCTTTATTTTTGTATCAACCATTAGTAAATGAGCCCTTTATTACTTATTAAATTATCTTTGTTTTTTTTCCTACGGAATTAATAATTTGATTTATAAACCGTATATCACACGAACACTATGCTAGTCCGTATATAAGATGATTACTCGCATCTATATATGGAATTTTTCTTCGTTATAGAATAATAGGCACAGTTTGACTTTTTCATTATTTATATATTAGCTTTGATTAGTATATTTTCTATAAGTTTAACTAAGATATTTATAAATAATGAAAAAACTATTGTGTATATGAGAATGAGATGACTACTTTTACAAGTATGTAATTGAATTAAGTAAAATTTTAAAATACTATAGAGTAACTAACTAATATTCAATTATATAAAATAATGATCAAACTCATGGATTGATATGTGAGTCAAGTTTGACCAACGGAGGGAGTATCAAATATAACTAAAATTGGACAATATTTTTCCTACTTTTGACCCTGTTCACTCCACCTTAAAAAAAATATACAATAAAAAGAATTTCAACTCAGTAAAAATCAATAACTTTAAAAAATATATATAATAGAAACAGTGAACATAATTTCAGTTAAGTAAAACTTTTTATTATTATTATTGACAGATAGTAAAACTAATTTAAGTTTAGTAGAATAATTTAAGTTTAAAAAAAATAATTTCACTTGAATAAAAATAATTTCTATTCAGCAAAAATAAGGTGAAGTAAACAAGGTCTTTGATCAATTTTGTGTATAGTTGATAAAAGCTGACACGAAACAACAACACGACATAAACTGAACACAAAAAAAATAGGTTAGTATCAAGACTTTTCGACACATTTAATTAAATGAATTACACTATCCGTTTTGTAATAATCGCAACACTTTCCTTTTATATACGTTTCATAATAATTGTAACACTTCCTTATTTGTTAAGGATTCACTACTGTTTTATTATTTCTCTCTCCTATCAACCCCACTTACACTATATTTTTTTTTATTATTATTTTTCTCTCCTACAAACAATTAAATATCCACACTAGCTATACTTTATTTATATTATAAAATTCACCTTTTGATTCCCACCCTAAAATTCTCCTAAAACTTTATGCAACACCTAATGTAGCTATTATTATGAAACTGATAGAATAACACAACACAACACATTTAATTCAACAGATCAAAGTTAGTGTTGAAATTCACCGATCTGTTTAACTTCAAAACGACATACTAATGGAGTAATGGGTCACACAATTAGTACTCCGTATAATTACCATTAAAGATTGTTCAAATTCTTTAAAAGCCTTTTTTTATATTACGTAAAACAATACTTTCTCCGTTCTATTAATACTACAATAATTGACTTTTTGCACTATTCATCACTATGTTTGACCTTATATGTTAAGTAAAATATAGTCATGTGGGATCTTATTGGATTCGTTTCATAAAATACTTTTACAATATCAACTTTTTATAATTTTTACTCTTACACAATTATAGATATTTAGCATATAAAATGTGTTTAAGATGCATAATTTCATTTTTGTCGCAATATTAATAGAATGGGGGAATTATTTTTTTTTCATCTTTCTTTAGGAAAACACATTAATCCAATACATTTGCACCAATCGTACTCTACTCATCATTTTAAACCCACTCACTTCATCTTCGCCATCCGACCACAGCAAAACCCCATTACCTCCTCTGCTTTCAAAACATATGTAGATTGATTTTTCGAGGTGACGATTCAATAAGGTTATATTCTATACCAATAAAATCATGTCGCCGCCCTCGGCCTCGGCAGACGCCACAATCTACAACCTCTGCCTCCTCACACTATACCTCATAGCCCTCCCAACATTCCTCGCACTCCACTTCATCCAAGCCCCATACGGCCGTCACCGCCGCTCAGGGTGGGGCCCCACAATCCCTTCATGGCTCTCATGGCTTCTCATGGAAAGTCCCACCATTTTTTTCTCTCTCCTAATCTACCCTTTCGGCCAATTCGCTTCTTCCCTCCGATCGTTCTCTCTCCTCGCCGTCTTCCTCCTCCACTACTTCCACCGCACCGTCGTTTATCCTCTTCGTCTTCGCCGGAAAACCACCAGCGATTTTCCGATCTCTGTTTCTTTAATGGCTTTCTCGTTTAATCTGCTGAATTCGTATGTTCAAACGAGGTGGATCTCGAATTACTGTGATTATGGTTTGGATGAGTGGTTTTGGGGGCGGTTTTCCGGTGGAATGGTGGTTTTTGGTTTTGGTATGGTGTTAAATGTGAAATCGGATTTGGTTTTGGTGGGCTTGAAGGCCCAAGGTGGTGGATATAAGATTCCAAGAGGTGGGCTTTTTGAGTTGGTGAGTAGCCCAAATTATTTGGGGGAGATTATTGAGTGGTTGGGCTGGGCTATTATGACTTGGTCTTGGGCTGGATTCGGGTTTTTCTTGTATACATTTTGTAATTTGGTGCCAAGGGCAATGGCTAATCATAAGTGGTATTTGGAGAAGTTTAAGGATGAATATCCAAAGACTAGGAAAGCTATAATTCCCTTTATGTACTAAAAAAATAAGTACATTACATACTACCCCCGTTGTATATTATATGCAACGATTATACATGTTCTATTTGAAACGGAGGTAGTATATTAATTGCAAATGATTCTTGTATTAGTGCTAGAATTTGAGATGTAAGCGTGAATTGTATGGGTGAAATAAATGTCCTGGTATTAGTATTTTGTTAATCAGTTGGAATCTTAAGATCAAGGTGTAAGAGCTAATAAGCATGGGAATTAATCCTATTTTTTAGGTCGAAAACGTACTTCGTGATAAAATAATCATGGGAATTAATCATGTATCTTCCATACTATACTAATGGAGTATTAAACTTAATTTACACAAAATTGATGTGCTATATTGAACATTTGAATCTGTTTTGAACGACTAGTTTGCTACTTAGCAATAATCTTGTAGGGTTAAATTTTCACTTGATTCTACTGTGTCATTATCGATTATTTTGGGTGACATTGATCGCTAATCATACGTAATCTATAATGAATTTATGATTTAGACCTATGTGAAAGTATATGTTAAAAGATGGTAACAAGACTCGGAATTTGAATAAAGATGGAGCTATTTATCTTCTCATGCTATATTCACTATTCATTCTTTGAAGATGTGTGTGCTCACCATATGTATCAATATACTACGTATTTGTTTCACATAAGCTTGTTTTGCTAAGCTGCATTCATCTATACCTTCTTATCGATTATCGAAGGCCTTAACTGTGATGCCTGCGTTACTTTTCGTGTGGTTTCATTCAATTGTCTTTTCAGGAGATTTGCGAACTGTATCCCGATGATTTCAATATAATGTTTTTCTCTGGGTGGAGGCTATGATATATGACTTATACATTCATAATTGAAGGACTAGCAAAAGCTTCTCATAACTATCAAAATTTGTTATGCACTATTCACTAGTCACTACAACTATAATTACACGAGGAACTATACACATGATTAATCTACTGTCAATCTACGCTTAGCAGTAAAACATTACATTCTTGACCTTATCCTTCAATTCTGGCAACGGGCGGAAGCTTTGGCCTTTGTTTGCGCGTGAATTATGTGATCCCCCTGAACTATCACTACTATCAGGTTCCATGTAGAACCGAGCTCTGTAAGCTGCCAGATGGGCATAATATGCTGGAGGGACTGTAAGAAAGAAAGAGACCATCAGTTCACATCACACAAAATTTTATGCTACAACAGCATTTTGGATGATAAAATTTTGCATCTTATGATTGCATTACATCAGTTTATATAAATAAGATAATCAATCATCTTACCAACTGAGACAGATCGTGTGCAGCGAGCATACCTGCAGCAACAAAACCAATACCAATTTAATAAGAATGCATAAGAGCTATTTTAATTATAAGAATATAAGAGGGGGGGGGGGGGGGCGGTCTTCTTACGTGTAACAAAGGTTGTTTGTTAAAGATTGTATCTCATCGGCAGTGAAATTGTTATCATCCCAGAGAACATGGTAGTGTGCAGGTCTGCTGGTTCCCTGCAAATCATCAGGAGTGATCCATTGTTATTATTAAAGAAAATACGTAAAGCTGGAACTTTATCCTTAACCTCGCCTAAAATCTCACCTGAATCCCAGCATGACTGCAGAGAAAGAAGTCGAAATCGGTTGGATGACATATTTTAGTATCTACCACAGTACCTGCAATGTCATGATTTTATTGTTACTAAACATCATTCGGCATTGAGCCAAACAGATTAGTTGGGGTTAAAAAGAACTGGATTTTACCGGGCAAGATGTTCCCACTCTTGTCAGTGCTTCTCTTGTCATTGTGATTGTTTGGAAATAATCTTGTATGATTACGCTTTTGAACCACAACAAAAGTCACTGGAGGTTGATAGCCGGGTTCCAGTGATGCACATGCCTACAAAAAGCTAAGAGTTATGCACTGGAAAAGCATTGATTATGATGCTTATAAAGTACGGAGTAATAATCTAGTTTTGGGCATACCTTTCTAATGGCATCAAGCTCATACAATAGAACATGATAGAACTGTCCATCACTGACACCATCCCTGCTCAGGTAATAATTCAGATTAGATGAATTGGTAGACATTTAAAATAGTTTTTAAGAAGGTATCAGCCATTTTTTTTTTTGAAGACATCTTTTTGCAAAAGATCAACAATCGAGATCTTCTTTCATCATTTCTAGTGTTGTTTAAGAGATTGAGATAAGGTAACTTACCTGTAAAATATTATCCTCAGCGGCTTTTGTCCAGTGGCCCTCTTAAAGGATAGCAAAAGTTCTCTGCAGCAACATGGAATTAGTACACACACCATTTAAAAATTAACAAGAGCATGTAGCACTGGATATCATATTGACTACTATATGCTATGCAACGACACGGCGAACACACCTTCACCCATCCTCTAGAATAATAAGTTAATCACGGATTTTTTGTTATTTACATTATTGAAAAATCTCATGCTCATCACTAACATGTTACCTGAAGAAAAAAGAAGCATAAAAAAAACTTTTGCATTCTGTAAACAATGCAAGAGTCAGCTACTAGTACCAGACACTGTTACAAACCCTAGAGTAAGACTTGGCTATCAAACAATTTTTGCATATTTTCTGTTCAAAATGATTTATCAAGTGTTCATGTCCATGTCATTGTACCTAGAATCCGATAAACAACTTAAAAGTAAAATTGAGCGTGTTCATCTATAGCTGCGAAATTCCTTTGGGTTGTTAGGGAGTGCTAAGAGTGGATAATTAGTTGCCAGGCATAATTTACCGAATCTCTACTCTTCGATGTAGTTTGCACTTCACAAATTGGCTGGATGTAAACCAACAATCTTAAGCTGAGTCATCACTAATCTTAGTTTAGAGATTTCGCAATGCAAACCTGATCATGCCTCCAGTGACAGTTCCTTGTTGTGGGTCTTGCCAGGTTTTGAACAAATCTTGTATAATTTCCTGTCTGTGTGCCTGAGCAGATACCATGCCAGCATACTTTGTTACTTCTGGCCAATCTTGAGATGCTACAACCTGTAAAAAAGCAATTAGATAGATCTAACATATGAATACATAACCTTTCCTACATAATAAAGAAATGAATTTCTTACAGCAGCGATGGATGGGCTAGTATCTTCCCCACTTTCTGGATGAGTTACATCAGCTCCAAAAATTATTGTTGGGATGTCACTAACCATTGGAATTCTCAAGCTCAAAGCGTCCAAAAGGACTGTATTTCTTCCTCCCAACTGCACATTAGCTTCATATAAGATTTGGTACACAAAGCTTTGCTTTCAAGCAGTATAAGATACAATATCATGCATACCTTTACATTAACTTTCAAGGACAGATTCGCTAGGTATTGCCGGGAAACTTTCAAGACATATTTGGTTAGGCAGCATTGCGAAATCAATCCCAAATCCGTCTCACAAATTCGCTTCAAATCACCTAGAAGAAACACAAAATTTTAGTCAGTGATATGTTTCATGAGTCCTACCATTTTGCAGTCAAAGATTTATTTGCATCAGAACTAAATATCTGGGATAGATTATAGTGAATTTGAAATTAAAATTTTAATATCCAAAGCAGCTAAATTAGTATTTCTAACAGAAAATAGAAGTGAAGTTCTGAGAACCTAATAATGATCAAAAGTAGCTATGTAAATAATACTAAAAAACGTTGAAGGTGTACCATATAGAGAGCCATTATTGTCCGGTAGAATGGCAATAACCAACTCCAGCTCCTTCCCATCAAGTTTGCTAGCAGCAGCATTACATACATATCTCAAGGCCTTCTTCACCTGGTCTGGCCTTGCAGAATGGATAGGGATTACAGGTTCAGGGTTGAATTCCTAAAAGTAGAAGTGAATGATATCAGTTCAAACAACTTATTCAAGAAGCCTCAAGGGCTAAAGAAATCAAGCTTCTACTTTATCCAACAAAGAACGAAAAAAAGTCAAAAACTATGAAGTTAATTTTATCTTTCACTTAAATGAATGTAATCATAGAATTCCATGCATGTCATGAGCACTGACTAAAGTTTCAGCTAGGTAATCTTAGCACAGTCAGAACAGTGAAAGGTAATTTGTAAAATATGCATTCTAAAACTAATCAGGAATGTCAACAGGAGTATATGAACTTAAAGATAAGAACCACTTTGGAATGAGCCATGGAGTCTATTTATGATTAACAATTGAAGCATTACCATTCCAGAGACTTGACACATCTGCACCAACTGACGACAAAACCCACGAGCAGCCGTCTCTTGTACACTTCTTGAGAAGTTGATGCAAGCCCAGTTACTTACAGTGCTCCCATTAATCACTTTCTATATCATCAAATCAAACAGCCTTTCTCTTAATGAACTCTTCATAAAAAATAAAAAATAAAATCCATATAGATGAAATTTCATACAATAGAGACCACTTACCTTGTTTAGCATATTCCACTGACCAAGCTGAGGCAAGTGTTGTTTCTCTTTTCCAGTATCATGGTACTTCAGCTATTAACAACAAAAATGGTTCCAATGCGTATTCAGTTTAAATTTGTCAAATTGCATGGAATAGATAATAAAAAAAGGATGAGCTGGAATACAAACCCATGGAGCAGGAAGAACACGAGCCTCAACCGTAGCAAGTTTGTCATCTATCTTTATGCCGAACTCTTGTGCATGGGGATCTTGGTTGTAGCCATTCTGGTGAACAGTCTGCAATAAAAAGCAATAAAATCACTCATGTAATCAACGTAATCTACACGTCATTCAGCTCAATATGTGTGATCATCATCGTAGAGTAATTTTCTGGGAGATAATTGTACAACGAAAAATACGCAAATGATTTTCAGTAGTTAATGCCTTACGAAGCAGAAAAAAAAGGGGGGGAGCTACGTTGAGGACCTGCAAAATATCTGTTTCCTGGTCACTTGGTCGTCTACATGTAACTTTGAGTAGAGATGTTATCTGTTTTTCATTCAATCTTCTCGTATATCTCTGTCCTCCAACTATTTTGCATGCCTATTATCATAAAGAAACAAAGAATCAGTAACTCACATAGCTGCTGAAAGCAACATGTTCTTAACTAAAGCTATGGTGTACCTCCATCGGCAAATAATTTACTTTCTTTTGATTTCCTACTTGAAGGCAAGGGAGGTGAGCATATTGAATGGTAAATCCATAGACCTCCTGGAAGTACTCAATCACTGACTTCATATTCATTTGCTCATCAACTGGGAAGCTGCCAGGAAAAGGGTAAGAAGATATACTTAACTAGGAACAAAGTGCTAAGGAGACAATAATGAAGATACAAGAGAATTATGGCTAATACATTAGCTCTCTGGTAGGCTGTGCTGACAATCCTGACACTCGATATTTCCTCCGTACATTTCCTCTGTGAGTAACCTCCACTTTGATGCCTCTAAGTGCTTTTTTAACCTGAACATATTCATGCATGAAAGTTAGCATCACATATAACCAAATTATAACTTCAATTTCAATCAATATGTTATATGTTGATATCCTAAACCAATTAGAGCCTCCTTTCATGCATATCGACATTTCAATTTGTTGACTAGAATCCTCAAGCAACAGTTAATCCATTTCATAATGTAGTAGTCTTAAACACGTCTGGGACTGGCATAGTTATATTATACTTTGAAATACACAGCTTATTTTTTTTCTTTTTGCATCTAATGACTAATATCATGTCTGATCAAGAAGGCTTGTTGCAATAATTATACATACAAGCTAATCTGATTGATAAGCAAATGTTTTCTTAATATTAAACATGTGCTTTATGCTGAAAATATTAGCAGGGAACTCATTAAATCACTGGCCATAGAGGTCCTGCTCAAATTTGGAACAGTTAATAAGATATCAACGCTATACCTTAACAGAATCTGCATCAGACAATGGTCGTGAACGTACATCCTTCCCCAATATTTGAGCTACAAATTCAACTACTGGGAGTGCTTCAATGAATGCGCTTGCTGACATATCTGAAAAATCAAAATAGTGGTGTGACAATGGCCTCCAAAAAGATAAAGCAGATAACTCGTTGAAAAAACTAAATAGACATGCAAAATAAGAGATGCACCCACCAATATTCAGGGCCAATCCCATCTGCGTGGCTCTTACACTCTGATAGAAGCCACGCCATGAGTGTAAACCACCACCAAGTTGATGAGGCTTTTGAATATCAGGAGAATAGAATAATCTTCCAAATGGTAAATACCTTCATGTTTCCCAATTTTAAAGGGCAAAATAAAAATAAGTCATTACAAAGTAGCAGTGCATTTGTGTTAGATCAGAATAATTTAACTTCAGAAAGCACACACCTTTTTGCGGCCATTTCCCTCAAGACAGTATCAATGACTGTGAGAGCTTCTTGAGGTGCTTTAACCTGTTTACCTGCAAGAAGCTCATGTAGTTCATGCATTCGAGCAAAACCAACAAACTGGATTTTAACCTCGAATTCATTTTTCCTAAAGCAAAAAGTAAACAAATTAGCAGCACTTCCACAATTAATCAACCATGAGAAATAGGACAGGAGGTAAAGAATCAGCATACCTCGTTGATTCAAACCCATCACTCTCTTCAAGCAATGTAACCTTGAACTCTTTCGTCGTAAAAGGCAGTAGTCCAGCAGTGTAAAGATTCTTCTTACCATCATAAACAGGAAGCTTTGCACCCAAGTTAGTTTCTCTGTGAAGTTTCACAAGCTCAGCCATGACAGCTTTATTCAATTTACTTGATTTTACTTCAGGAGTTATAGTAACCTGGAAAATTGACAGAGAATATTAACCACTTTCCTTCATCACTATGAATACTATCCATCTAAAAAGCACAGCCCTAATCTGGATATTTAAACTTACATTATATTGACATAAATCCGACCTCGATAACTCAGCAAGAAAATAATTCGCCTTAACAACACACTTAGTGCCCAACTGGCCAAAACCCGGCCTCTGTTGGAACACAATGCCCTTGTTGGATGTGGGAGGCTCAGCATGCAACTGAAGTTTCCCGTCAGCGGGTAAATCTTCAACAATGGCACCTTTTGTCTTTCTTCTTCCTCTCCTCCGCTTAGCATTTTTCGGAGCATCTTCCAATCTCTCTTTAGCATTCTGGGAAGACTTGTTAGATGGCAACGAAATCACTAAGCTGCTTTCCACAGGTTTCTTGGGGATCATATGCTTCTGCTCCGGGTCTCTTATATGTCGATTCGGCATTTCTGTAACATAAGTATTTTGTTTCCCAGAAGAAAGTACAAGTTTAGAAATTGCGTCTTCTAACACTTATAAGTACTAGATTTAAAGTAATGCAATAGATAATTTTACAGGTAGAAGATAGAGTTGAGTAAATGGCGCAGTAAATTACTTCCTTAACCATAATTAATATGGCTTCAGTTTCAAAGGAAAAAAGCAACTAGGGCAATTAGTATACTGACTTTACACCATAAAAATAAGGCCAAAAGAACAGAAGAACATGAAAATTGAACAGTTTCTGAGTAGAGTTGAAAATTTTTAACATGGAGAAACAAAAACCAGGCAACATGCAAACCTTCAAATCATGCAAAATAACCCTTTGTGCAAAACATTTAAGTCCGAATTAGTAACACGACAACCAAATCCAAACAGAGGTAGTATATTACTTCAACTGGAAATCAATTGCTAACCTATTTGAGAAAATATAAAATATAGTAATTGAAATTATACCACTATTCACCTGATTTCTGACAGAAAAGTAGAAATTTTTAACTAGAATTGCTCAGTAAACAAGAACAGTTCTCCTTCTCAAATCTAACCAGCTTCTTCTTCTCACTAGACCCAGAATAAGAAAGAATAGCACAGATTTGTTTGGTAGAAAGAAGACAAATAAACCCAGAACATAAACTACATTTTTTATATCACTATATTATTAATTATGTTCTGAACATTCTTAAACGTTATTCTACGTCAATCCCAACTTCACAAAAACTATATAATATGCAATTTACTATTTAATTAGTTACTCAAAAACTTACCCCCAACCCATAATTCGAAAGAAGTGACACAAAGTGCATGTATGGGAATAACTGGACACGAGAGAGAATTTCCCGTGCAAAAACACCATTTTCCATGGTCAAAAAAGTGGGAAGAAGAATTTACTTTTCTTTCCATGGGGATTTACCAAAAAGAATTACATTAAGTAATTATTTAATCATATGGTTTCAAAAACCCAAATGGCTTAGTGGTCCCCTATGGTATGGGAAGTGGAGAGACTTCCTTGGATTATTCAAAGGCTGTCCATACTACACCCGAATTAAGCATCCACCATACGGGCAAGATAATACGAGAACACATAAAATTACACCCGAGTATAGGATAAAAATTTACCGGACTTAAATTTGATATCTGTTTAACAGTGACAAAACGGAAGGAGGCAATACAGCAAATAGGGGAATATCAGTGGGCAAAAGGGTAGTGTCTGTTGTATAGAGATTTAGATAACTGAGGAGAGAGAAAGTAATAAATTTGGTCCACAATTACAATAGGCAGTAGTGGTGTAATTTTGTTGAGTAGTAACCAGACACAATGCATCTGCAATTCCTCAGCTGATGCTCTACTGCTTCTGCTCTCTTCCTTTGGCTTTTGTTATCAATAACTGTAGCATTGTCAGCACTGTGTACTAAATTAAAGCTTTATTTTTGCTTAATGGGATGACTCTTCTCTCTATATTTTTTTAAACTTTGTTTGCTATTTTCTTGCTTTCCTTTTCCTTTTCCTTTTCCTTTGCAGGAAATTCTTTGGTTGAGGTTTGTGACCATCAAGTAAAGTGGGGAAAAAATTTTCACATAAGACAGGAGAGAATGATTTCCCCATTCCACTTACTAGTATTTGAAAATTTTGTCAACTACCTAGTAAAAGTTACTCCCTCGGTACCAAAATGAATTTCACTATTCATTTAACACCGGGATTAAAATAATAATTTGTTACGGAGTACTATACTAAGAACAAAAGAGAAAAAAAAAAACCATATGTCAAGTCGTTTGAAATAATTAGGGACCTTAGGTCCTTAGGCATGAAATTTACCTATCACAGGAACAAGGATAATGTTTCAATTTCATTATAAAAAAAATAAAAAAAAAAGGATTATGTTTCAATAGAATGAAATGTGATGAGATTTAACCTAGGACAAATCATTATATTACTGTGGTCTGTGGCCAACATCCTTCCATTAGATATTTTTTTTTTTTTTGTACAAAAATACTAGTGTAAACAGTAAACACTGTAGGATGAAATTATGTTTGGACTTATTGTCCTTTCACATGTTTAATGTGTAGAAGTCAGTGAGAGGCTTACAGCAAATACATTAATACAAAAATACATATTCAAATGGAGTCCCTGGTACACAAATTCAGTCTCAACAATCATGACAATTGACTAACTAATACATAGTACTGGAAAACATCACCTATTTTTTTTTTTTTTTTTAAAGATTAAACTTTCAGGAACATCCTACCAATTACTAACTTTCGCTTAGCAATAGATAATCAAAAATCACAATCAACTACGGAGTACCTCCTAAATGAAGTCAGGCACCTTTCAACCTATACTCTAATACGAAGTACAATAATACTCAGTCGTATCGGGCTAAACCACTAAAGTGGACCTACACTTAACAAAACAGACAAGCCCGGATTTCAAACAACATAAAATTTTGTCATTGGTGTCTTAAGCCTGAAGCCCAGTTCTGCAACTACAAACAAAAGTCCAGAGACCAATTTTCTATATGGGCCGTTGGTGCTGTCTCTCTCATCCCTCTCTCCCACTGTCTTGGATTGTACTGCCCCTCTCTCTCTTTCTCTCCCTTCATCAGCTCTATGAGTCTCGTGTAGTCTAACTGTCTAAGTCCAGAACAATGAGTTGGTACTTTTTTGTACAAGGATCGACCAACATATAACTGGGCCACTAACGGCCAAAATATTAGGCAAAATCTACTATTTGAAAGAGTTGTAACTTCCTTTGTTAAGCCACAATGTTAAGTAAGCTATAATCATAAGGAGTGGTACCAAATATGATTGATGACATGCTGACATTGAAAATACAAAGATCAAATGACTTCTCTGCTTTAGAATTTTATAAAGATAATAATGAGCCAGTCTTAAATATGAGGACATGACTTAGAATTTACTACAACCAAACATAGTATTAATTTCAAGTCTCCAACAAACGGGTTACCCTATATCAAGTAACTGAGGAAGATTTAAGATATCACATTAAATTTTAGCTACATAAAGTAAAGTTATAGTAATGTATAGGACGGCCCATAACTCTAACCCTTGGTTCTTCCACTACATGTATGATGTGAGACAAACAATAATCACTTTGCAGCAAAGCATGCAGAAAAAGATAGTTTTAAGTTTTCAACCCTTTCCCCTCAATATTAAAAAAATACAGTACTCAGCTATTTTATTATTTTAGTTCTACCATTTTTATTTTTTTGGCATGTTATACTGTATATGACACCACTATCTTGACAAAATTCTACCCCAGGATCTTCCACATACTTCACATAGGTTTGTTTGTCATTTGATATAAATGCAGTGTTTCTCTCCTACTTTTTGGCTACTCACATGAAAAAATGGCCCATATTTTCTTTTTGGTATGCAAAGAGCCACATAGAAGTGGTGAAGAAAGGGCTCAAGCTAAGGTATCACCCATGGTATAACATTAGATCTCGGTTGCATCATCGTTTCACAACAACACCGTTTAGGATTTTAAGCTTGCCGCGAACAAATTACTAGGCTGCAATAGTTGCATATTGCCCACCCACATGGCCACATCACCCGCAAAGGCCCAAATATGGTTTCGTGATCATTACTGTTACCCAAAACAAAGTAGTCAAAGAGAAACAGACAAACGGTAATAGTCATGAAACTTACGGCAACTAAGGGAGTGAATTTAAAAACAAATTAACACTACTTTCTTTGTTCCCTTTTGTTTGTAGCATATAACATTATAACTCATAAAACTCTCAAAAAAAAATGAACCCGATATAATAAAAATAAAAAGAGATTGAGGAGTACTCCTTAGTAAATAAATATGGAGTATAGGAGCATCATGATTATAACCCAATTTTTTATTTTTATTTATTTTTAAAGTTTTTACCTTGTGCATGTTTAATAAACCGTAGCATAAGCTACTAATAATAGCCAAACCCACAAGAACACGCAAAAAAGGTCACTCCACACATGTGTTTACACACAAACATTTCAATCTCTCTCTAAATAAATAACTGTCCCCTCTTATTCACTCTCACGTTTAAATAATAAGCTCAATAAATGCCAAAACAGAAGAATATCCTCGCACACGCCTTCCTAGTTCTTCTGCTACAAAAGATATGGTAGCGTTTGAATTTTATTACCCATCTAAAAAAGGACAAATCCCTAACAAACAAAATTTTAGAATTAAGTTTCAGAAAATACCAAATAGCTACAGATTTGAAAATGAAATTACATAATCTAAGGTAGTAGTAGCAGTAAAAACAGGACTGTTGTTAGTTGTTACCCAGTCTCTAGGGGTGAACTAGTGTACCACATTATCACATAATACTTGCTTTGTCCCCAACTAAAAGTCTCGTTTTACCCAAATTTTTTGCACCTAAATATTAATCCTATTCACAATAACTCGGTAACTATTGTACTGTATTTATCTTTAATCAACAAAATCTCACCAGTTTGTTATGGTGTACTATGTTTTTAATCACTTTTAACAAATTGAAATTCCTAGGAATTGAAATTATTTGGAGTTGTTTGGTTGACAAATTTATGAAAAATAGAAATTTCCATGAATTTCCACTTCCCACAAAATGGAGGAAGTAAATAACCCAGGGGGACTTAGGTAAGCGGAATTTTCACTTCCCTTGGTTAACCAAATACTTTTTAAAATTTCCTAGAAAGTTCAATTTCATAAAAATCAAATTTCCAAGAAATTTGCAATTCCTACCTTCAACCAAACAAGCCCTAAATTTCACTATTCTATTACTCCGTAATTTATTCACTTTTTCTAAAGCTTGTAAACAAATACTTAAGGAGAGAGTATTACCTCAAAAATGTACACTCCTTTAAATTCTAGGCTCCGTCTAACCGTGTATATTCCGGACTTGCTTACGGAGTACATTGTGAACAAACCATAAAATTATATCCACAACACATCAAATAAATTTTAATGACTACAAAAAAACGGAGTAATACTTGAATCTTTTGTAAAGAGAGTAACCACCACAACACCAAAATAACCCCGTAAATGACTACGGAGTAACACATAAATTTTAAACTAATTAACAACTAACATGACTAAAACACACTTTAACACGTACGATAATAATATAAAGGTCGCAATTTAGATGGTGAACGCGCGTGCACAAAATAACAATCATCAATCGAGATATTACTCCGTAATAAAAAAGAGAATAAACAAACCTTTAGCTATGATTTAACGTCTCCGCTTTATAAACTTAAGCAACAGCAGCAACAGAGCCGTATAGCATTAATACCTCAACAAGTAGCTAGACTGTTGGAAACTACGTCGTATAGTCTTCTCCTCTTTTGATGATGCTTGATAAATATTCTACTCCAATCTCTGAAACAACATCAAAAACTGCAGCTACTTAGACGACCAAGTTCCAGTAGAAATAGTCGTATCTTTTCCAGAGACAACACCAAAAACTGCAGCTACTTAGACGACGAAGTTCCAGTCGAAATAGTCGTATCATTTCCAGAGATTCAATTTGTTAATGGAAGAAAACTAAATGCGATAAAAAGTAGGAGAGAGAAAATGTATGAAGTAGCGCAAATCTAAGAAATGTGGTACTAGTAGTATTAGACTTATAGCAGCAGCAGTATTATGCAGCCATTACTGATTAGAGATCTTGCAGAAATCAGAGTTGACATTGTGTTTTTGATTGCGACGTCTTTTTTATTTATTCATCATCTTTTTTAAATCTAATACTCCGTTATTAATATTTCCAGTAATCGAATATGAACAATTGTTTCAAAAAAAAATAACACGAAAAATACGTGCAGTAATTTAAATTTTGCTTAAAAACCGTTGAATTAATAGCTGATCATTGATTGATTTTTGTAGAAAAATTGAAAATCTGAAAAAACAGTGGATATTCATGGATTATACTTTGCAGAAATAATAATTGTTGCGTTTTTCAATAGTTGAAAACTGTATTATTGAAGAAATTAAAATTACAGAAATTTGATAATTTGTATAAAAAAAAAAAAAAAAAAACGAAGTACAAAAAAACTAACCGTAGAAACTTGGAGAAGAAGCAAATTAAAGTGATGGAGAAATCAAACAGTGAAGGAAAAAAAATGGAGGAAAATGGAAAAAATAGGAGAGAGTAAAAGAAAGTAATACCTGGGATTGAGAAAACGAAGGGAGAAAAAAAAAAAGAAGAAGAAGAAATGGAGGAAGAATGAATTGAAGGTAAGCTAGAGAAGTTAGGGTGGGGAGAATTGAAGTGAAGTGAGTAGCAGAGAGCACTAACACTGAAACCAAGTGAAAGGGAATTTTATGGGGATAAAATGGAAGCAAGTGAAGTTGGAAATAGTGATTCCTTTCTTTATTTCTTTTTATACCACTATCATGGAGGTTACATTATTTTTTTTCATATTTTAAATATAGAAGTCTGGAACAGGATGTTTCATGTGAAACGGTTTGACAATCAGATAAGGTATTAGTCACGCAAATAGTTATGAGTATATGTAAGTTATGCATAATTTTTTTTTAAATTTAAAACATAGAAGAGGAGGTTTATGTGATAAGGTTTGACGATCTGATCAGATATTACTGTCTTAGTCACGCAAATAGCTATGAGTATATGTAAGTTACGCTTTTTTTTTTTAAAAAAATATAGAAGAGGAGGTTTCATGTGAAATGGTTTTACGATCAGATCAGGTATTACTGTATTAGTCACGCTAATAGCTACGAGTATGAAAGTTACACATTACACATGATTTGTGTTGCAAAATACATTACTAGTTACTTTATCTGTTTCTTGGCGTAAATTTGAACTGCATAGACTAAACTTTATGTGTTGTTTGGTTTTACTAACATAATTGTTGTATTAATAGGATTGACTAGTTGTATTACTCCATATATGCTTTGATTAATTCTTAAATTAAATCAATTGTTTTATTACCAATTACCAAAACAGCTTATTGCAAGAATTTCTCAATTTTTTTTTTTAAAAAAAGGGAGTTATTTAGAATTTTCACATTAGCTTATTTAACTCCAATAAGTTCTTTAAATCATTTCTTTTAATTTCCAAACAACAAAAAACAGTTGGTTTTGTAATCAAATTATCTATAGCTCCCCCGAAGTTTAAAAGCTATTTAGTCATCTCTTATCAAACAAGGCCTTAATTAATTACATATCAACGAGGTTTTGGTGTAATTACTAGTACGTGATACATTAATATATGTTGCATAATAACTTTAGCACTATATATTCACATACTAAATTTATCTTTCATTATACTTCTGTGAAAATGAATTGAAGTACTCCTTACTTATTTACTTCGTATGTACTAACATATAGAAGTAAACATACATTACTTACGGAGTAACATTTTTCAAGTAACTAATTCCTAATCTAATCGTCTAATACAAAATATTGTGAGTTTGTTTAGTTGTATAAATAATTAAGTTGCTTTTCTGAATATCCAGAAGCACACAGTTCTGTATTCAGGAGGAGAGGGGAGGGGGGTCACTTTTGATAAAGAAGCTTTAGCAGCATAAGGAGGAGAGCAAGTAAAAAAGAGAGTGAAGCTTTTTTGAAATAAAAGGCGTGCAATTACCATTTGAATAGAATTGAATAAAAACAACACAACACACAACATCTTTTGAACATTTTGGAAACTGAAAAAGCCCCATTTTTTATTTCTATTTTTTTTTATAAAAATTAAAAAAAAAAAAAAAAATGAAGAAAAGAAAAAGGAGGGAATAAGAGGGAGGAAGTGAAAAAGAACGGAAGTGGTGTTTAGCGGAGGCTAATTAATTAAGCACTTCGATAAAGCTGCTTCGGTTTTAGAGATTCCTATGTAGGGAAAGGAGAAAATTATTTAATATTCCACTCCCCTTTTAACAAATATCTTTTTGGATTTCTCTTTTTTATTTTTACGTAATCTAATCTAATCTGATCTAATACCATATATCACTAATAAATAAAGTCGGTTTTGCAACCAAGCCACAAAACAACGACACTTGGCATTCCAATTTTTCGCCAAGTGTCGAGCCACATGGGCGATAAATAGGTATTATTGTGACACATGATAATAAGTAAGCGATTCTTGAATAGATTTTATAACATAAAGTTGTTATATGGAATTTATTATCGATAGAATTCTAATATTTCATATATACTAAAATTAATCATAACTTTTAAAAATATCCTATAATTCAATTCAATTTCCATCATCAAATTCGTTTTAAAAAGTTCTTTAAAATAAGATTCATTTATAATATATTTAATTTATATACAAAAATAATAGAGAATCAGTGAAAATAAGCTTTAATCAGGAAAAATAATTTTAGTTTTGTTAAAAATACTTTCAATTTAATAAATTATAATTTAATTCGATATGTCTAAATATCTTGAATTATCAAAAGGGATTATAAAACCGTATTTAACATTCAATCCAAAAAGTTTATCCTAAACTTTTATCAACCATCTGGGCATCGCCCGGGCACAAAACTAGTTGTTTCGGGGTTTTCTGATGTCCTGCGGGAGAGTTACAATTCCGAGACTGGAACCGGACGCCTGTACCTGCAAAATAACGGAGACTCCTGAGAGCTCCGCCTCCAACGGTCAAGTTAGTACCTGATTAAGGAGTAATTAATACGGAAATTAAAGTAATAAGACCTCTCTAGGTGAGAGTGTTTAATGTTGGTAATCTGCTTTGTTAGCGAGATTAGCCGGTTATTAGTGTGCCGCAATGTTTCTGTTCTGTTCCGTTCTTCAGGTGAGATTAGTTGCTTGATCAATTGCCTCTCAATTGCTTGATGTTTTTCCTGATCCCCTTTAATGAGGATTAATTAAGTATTTATAGTCTTGAGAAGCGTGCCACTCTCTAGGTTTAGGGTAAACCTAGGGCTGACCGGGCCTCTAGACAGGATTGGGCCTTGTTGGCCGGTTTTCCCATCTGGCATGGGTGGACACGTGGCGTGCCTCGATTGGTCTGTAGAGGACGCATCTGTGATTGACACGTGGCAGGCTCCTATTGGCCTACGTGAAGGACATGTGGCGGAACCTGGTTGGTCCACTTGTCAGACGGTGATTGGTGGATAAAAATCCCCTAATCATTTGCCCCTCACAGGTGGCACGTGACTGGTCACGTGTCGCCTGTGACAGGTGTCGCACGGTGACAGGCGACGGCCTGCTACAGGTGTCACCTTGCAAACGGCCGAGAGATTTTCCCGCCCAAATTTTGAATTTGGAAGCGACCCTTCGCCTTCTCACTTTGCCTATATAAGGAAGTGCTGACTTCGGTCATTTTCACATTTGAGAACTTTGCGAGAACATTCGGACCCCTGAACTTGCTCTGACATTTCGGACCTTTTCTGCCTACCGCCTGTTATGACAAGCCGACTGCACCGGATTTCCAGAACTTCATCAACCGTCACTCGTTCAGGTAACTCAGTTCTCTTACTCTTAATTTTCTTTTTATTTTTTGAAATGGCACCACGGAAGCACACGACACGACCTAAGTTAGTGATCAGCCGGTCACCGGGGACGGCTGAATCTAGGACTAGGAGTGTCGCCTGCCCTTTTCTGGACCCATCTTTGCCCTTTATACAAAGTCCGACTGTATCTGTGTCTATGCAGAACGTGATGGCCAGAACAAAAAAGACTGCTATGATCTCAAACTCAGACGGCTCCTCCCAAAGGGTGCTCATTAGTGAAACATCTGACCAGGCGCCAGATGTAGAATTAAAACGAGGCGGCTGCCAAGCCGACAGTTCTGAGAGAGGGGCCAAGGTGGTCCCTTCCCATTTTACCGTTGATATGTCTAATTTTCCTCCTGCTCCTTCTAAGGGAGAGGAGGCGGGCCCCTCTGGGAGAAGGGAGGAGTCGTCCTCTTCGGACTCGTCAGAGGACGAGTCCGAGTCCAGCTCTTCTGGCCACAGTTCTCCAGGCTCAGAAGAAAGAAACAGCCGCCTACAAGAGGCGAGACTTTCTCATGCAGTTGAGAAGGGGGACAATTGGGCGGAGCCGTCCGCCTCTTACAGAGAGGAAAACGCCCCCTACTACTGCATGGTACCCCGGGGCCGGATCGCAACCATGCAAGACAAAGTGGAGAGCTTTATTGCTAACCACAGAATGGGCCCGGAATTTTTACTGTTCGTGCCGGATCCAGAAGACACTGTCGTCTGGCCGGCTGGTACCAGCTATGATGACGGCTGCTTTGGCTGCTATGTGGCGGCCATCAAAGCTGGACTGCGCTTCCCATTACATCCGGCTGTTCAGCGGATTTTAGATGGGTATGATTTGGGGTTATGGCAGTTAGCCCCCAACTCTTGGGTAAACGTACTCGGCTATGTGGCCGGGTGCGAAATGTACGGGGTGGAGCCAAGCTTTGAGGCTTTCGCCCACATGAACTATCTCAGCCGGACCCCTAAGTCGGGAGGTACCGGCTGGTATCAATTAACAAGCCATAGGGGTTACCTCATGACGAGAGGTAAGGCGAACAAATGGAAGGATTGGCGGAACACCTTCCTTATCATCGAGGGTTCGGACACGGAGCTGAACCAACGCTTTAACAAGTGGAATAGGGATCCGCCTCTTCTCGCAGGCGGCCGCAGCATGCCGCCTGTTCCCCCAAAGGCTAAAAAAGAGATCCTAGACAAAGGACTCTTCAAAGTAGAGACTAGGGTGAACTCTACTTCAGGGGTACGAGAGCAAGTACCCCTAAACTGCGTCCCGAGCTTCAAGTGGCTCTATGACGAGTACTTTTTGGCCGCTTGTGGCCTCACCAGTCGGTGCTCTAGAGGTAGCCGGCCTGTCAAATACTCTGTTTTTTCACGCTTTGTTTACTTGGGATTTTACTAACTTTGCTGTTCATTTTTTGCAGCTGACGCCAAGAGTAAAATAACAGCATCCAAGACTGCGGCGGCCATGTTGCGGGCCTCTCTCATGCAACAGTCTTGTGTCGACTCCCCCAACAAGGGGGCACCCTTGGTAGGCTTCGAAAACTCTTCCTCTTTTAGGAGTTGTCTTATGCATATACTAACTCTTTTTGTTTTCAGTCTGGCACTCCAAGAGCTTCTTCCTCGCAACAGCCGGACCCCAAGGCCCGGAGGACGACTGTTGCAAGCTCTCCTGGGTCTTCCAGGAAAACAGTGGCGGCTGAGAAGCAGCCGGCCACTTCTTCTAAAACCCCGGCGGGGCCGCCTAGAAGTATGGACAATTACTTGTAAAAACTCACTTGCTTCCTTCCTGACTAGGTCTAACTTGCTTTTTTACGCTTGATGCAGCCGGCCCTCAGGGGCTTGACTTGGTTGAGGTAGCCAAGTCCATGATCAAAGTAGTTCCTCCATCTGAAAGGGAGGCGGTCAGGGGTGCCGGCACCCTTGACCTTGATGGGATTGCAGGGGTCCTTGCTGAGGTATACTTTTTTGAGTATTTGAATTCCAGGACGCCTGTTATCTTTTTTGTTTGGAAACTGACGCCTGTTTTCTTTTTGTACTTAGGCCCTGCTCCGAGTTAACAGCCTTCGCAAGCCGATTGATCGGAAAAACAAAGAGGTAAAGGCCGCAAAAGCTATGGCCGCCTCCAACTGTGATAAGGCAATGTTTCAAATTGCCCAAAATGAAGTACTGACCATTGATATTCTTTATTATCAGGCGCAGGCTACCGCCGCTGTTCGGGCTCAGTTAGAGGCGGCCCAGAAGAAGAATGACAAGCTGGAGGCGACCGTCACAAATCTTAAGGCCGAGCTGAAACCTCTTCGCCAAAAAATGCACTCT